AATGTTCAACGTAAATTTTACAATCTAAATACTTGTTCCAGATACTTAAGTGAACTGACGACCAAGATAGAAACCAGGAAGGCTCGGTTGAGCCACTTGGAATCTCAGAGATCTGAAGCGAAAAGCACTGCGACTAAAGATGCAAGAAGCCTCGAAAGACAGAAGTTGACGCATTTGAAACGGTTGGAAGAAGTTAGTAAATTTCGAATATAGATCATATATAGTCTGTATTTGATATTTAATATTTGCCATTTTCCTGATTATTGTATGATCGTGTTTATCTTATCGCTATAGGGTCGAAACCGAGTTAGAGCGATCAACGATGAACTGACAAAGTTGGCGCAAAATTCTTGCGAGAACAGCGACGAGAAACGATCTCCGAGCAGGGAAGACTTCGACAGGATCTCCAGGGTCACCACTGACTCTCCCATTGTAAACAATCAGGGCAGCTTGGGAAGGAAGACTATAGAATCCCTCAAGGAAATTGAGAGAAATCGACAGCTTCATTTAGCGAAACAAGGTATATATTATCAGAGATTTTTATGTTAATGTGTTAAATAAATATTATATAGTTGTCTTCTATCTCTATGTACTGTACTAGTTAAAATATTTTATTTTCCTTGTAATGTTTATAAATTAATTTTAGAAAATACTGATGATAAAATTTTTAATATCAAGCGGATCACTAGATTTCTAACACTTTTGAACTTTTTTTATTCTATTCATAGGAAGTATATACTTATTTTCATTTTAAATTGTCATAGTCCTATTACTTTTTGATCAATTTCAATGTAACAATAGAATTAAAATATTTTCCTTATTTATTATGGTTACTGATATAAAAAAAAAAATTATTTAATTTCAAATGGTATATTGTATAGTTACATAAAATTGTTCTAGTATCTCTTGGACAATTCTGACATTTTAAAAGAATTAACCCCTTGCACTATGATTTAATTATGACAAACTTTGCGTTATAGAATTATTTCATTTTAATTAGACACTGTGTAGCTACTTTATTTAAAATCTTTAGAATTTATACAAGTTTGTAATGCGAAATTTCTAATACGAATGTAATTCATATTTATGGGGTTTAGCATGAACATCTCACAACGAGTTAGACTCGTTATTGTAGTATAAGGGGTTAAAATACTTATCTTGTTAGTAGGATAAAACAAAATTTCATAGCAAATATTTAAATCCAAAGTAATGTAATCTAAAATACTGCATAATATAGTAAGTATATATAAATAATATATATACATAAATTTTCTTTTCTTCACCCTATATAAAAATAATACATCTAATTATATATTGATCTCTGTCTCTTTTAAATAAGAATCAAAACGCTTCGTATTATTATTATTAAGCAGTCATTAATAATTTATTATTAAACTTCAATGTAACTAACCGAATGATTTATTTTTATTAAAAATCGACATACTTCGCGTTGTTGCAGGCAGCCAAGTAATCTCCGAAGAAAGACGAAGAGTAGAGGAACTAAAACGACGAGTACAAGACGAAGTTCGGTCGCAGTGGGAAGAAAGGAAGATGAACTGTACCTCTTTCAACAGCGTTGAATCAGGCGAAGAATCCTCCAGTTACTCAACGGGGCCAACGGAAAGGTGAGTCACACGTTCAATCATTTTCCTTTTAAAATGCAAATCTTGCATTGTTTTCGTAAGCAAGCGAAACAGATGAAAATTACATGTTTTTGAAATTCCCGCTCTACGTTTAAATGTAAATTTCCTTCATAGAGACATCCATCGCCATCTTGAAAGAAGTAACAAAGAAACGACTACAGTATTTCTCGTTTCTATCCTTCCGTAGATGGAAAAGTCTTTATTATTCGGATATTTATAACGAAAATATTAATTGTAAAATATGCGCGACGAATTTAAAATCATTTTTATAAATATTTGGAAAATTTGTAATTTACTTAAACGACGGTTAACGCGAAATGAATGTATAGGTATCAGCTGATAAAACATTTTTATACATACATAGATAACTAGGGTTACATAACATTTAATAAGAACTGGAAATTTAAAAGTGCACATGGTGTTTCTCAGTAAGTGTACAGTAAATATATTCTTCGTGCGTGTGTTTGCACGAATGACGAAATTGCCTTGTCCTATGAGTGATCGGACACGGTATCATTTTAGCAATAATGGCTAAACGTGTTTTATCTATAGGTTTAGTGATAGAAAAGCCATCGGTGCGTTTAGCACGTGTGTTTAGCATGAGTGTTTCTCGATTAAACATTATCGCACGTACACTTTGGAACAACCAAATTTACTTGCATCGTGCTGGAAAATATGATCCATCTGCATTGAATTAAAATAAAAGGTACAGTGATGTAAATAGTAATACAATTTTCTTAACTTCTATTTAAATTAATTAGTTTAGATATTTATAGTTATCATAGAATAATATTTTTTGATATCAGGAAATTTGGGACATATGGTATATAGATTATTTGTATGTCGTTCCTTTAAAATTTAATTTATTATATTTCTATGTAGTCCAAGCAATATATAGTATAATTTTGGTAATTTTATTTTTAACATTTTGATATATGTAACTAATTTGTTGATAGATAATTTAAGATCATATACGTAGAAAATAGATGTTTTATTTCAATATTTTATTTTAATATATAGCTGATTAATTAGTATAGCTATCATATTATATATTAGCATAGCTTCAGTATAGCCGATTAATTATGAAGATTAATACGTAATTACGAAAATCTTGTAGAATTTCACTGCACTTTATTTTACTTCTTTATTCTTATTTTATTTCGCGTGTTTATTACCATGACATCAAGTTATTAAGACGAAACAAACAAGCGAAAATGAAAGAACCGGGAGATATACTATCGTAATCGGTCTGGAATAAACTTTCAAACGCCATATCAATAAAACACACGCATACATTTCACTTCGATAAACTGCTTAAAAATGACTTGAAATACCGATCAGCATTATGCAATATTTTCTGGAACAGTTCAATGTAGCTGCAAAACGAATATAGAAACCTACCGCTACCATAACAGCTACTTCGTCACGAATGTTAACCCCTTGCACTCGTATTTATATTTGAGAAGGCTACCAATCAACTCGCAATTTTTTCTCATATTCGATCGAAACGAAAACGAAATTTTTCATGAGAACATATTACAATTTAATTTCTCGATCCGGTAGAAAAAATTAGAAAAATAGCCAAATTTAACTCTTTGCACTGGAGAGATGAGCTTCAGTCACCGTTTCATAAAATTTGAAAGATCGATATTAATTAATAATGTAGGATACCAAAAGAAATCGCGAATCGGGTATTGCCAACAAAAACAAATTGTAAACCGATCGATATCGTCTAGAAGCAAATCGAAAAGTTATTCTATATAACAAAATTAAGTTGCGCGACTCCTCTACGGAGAGGTGAAGCGTAGGTTAAGGAAAGCATAAAAGCGTGGTCCTTGACAAGCAAAACAGAGTCCTTAGAAATCGGTTGTGACCAGCACAAACGTGAGTCGCTTGGTGTTGGAAAAAGAGTTTTAACACGTTGACTGCCACGCGCATTTTACGTGGTTTGCCCATGGTGCCAACATGAATATTTTATTATGCGATGCATATTATGTTGAAATATTATTTACAACAGATAAGGTGAGTTGTATAATCGCGTTTAATGTATTTTTCGTGGTGGGGGTCACCGGTGACCCCCGCGGCGCTGTAGACCATTTTTGCCATTATCAATTGTTTAAAAAGCAACTCGAAAAAATATTTCAATTACCGATTTTAGGATGAAGTTAGCGATGTATTTAGTGAAATGTCCTGATGACGAAGATTGCATTTCATCGAGCAATTAGGTACAGATAAGACGTCGCCACCAATTTAAAAAGAAACCTGGAAGTGTGCGAAATGTAAGGCGATTTTGCAAAGTGCGCTATGAAACTAATTCAAATAAGCTAGGAAGAATGAGAGCAAAGAATTGCACTAAAAAAGTGGCGACATATTGTGCCGACTGTTTTGGTTCACCTTTTCTTTGTATAAATAAAATTATTTTTGCATGTTCTGTATGGCATTAATTTCTTCGAACCATTATAGTAACAATGGTACTATTTAAACATTTATCAGTATCGATGTTTACTCTAATTATGTATTTTTACTAATGGCCGCATCGCTGATCACCGGTGGCCCCCACGGCGCTGTAGCAAAGTCGAATGCCGGCCACCGGTGACCCCCATGGCAGTCAACGTGTTAAAAGAGTGCGTCCTTGTGTGTTTTCATTTCGTTATCTTGATGTTCTTTTCCTAAGTTAAATCAGTTTACGAGTTTTGAGTTTCTGTTATTGTGTTCTTGTTCTTTCGTGAATTTTCGGTGTCTCAAGACCAGTATTCGCCATCCTATAATATATCAAATTTAATGTAATATAAATGGTGTACGAGGTATCGAAATCAAATAATTCTACAATTCTTTATTTACTGCTCAAAAAGGTATCGTCAGTTTTTTTTAGTAGAGAATTTTTGAATTTCTACTCTTCTCTAGCCAAAAAATCGTCGAGTGCAGAGGGTTAATATATGTGTAATAATAAAATGGCGACTATACGGTGACATACGAGTGGAAAGGTTTAATCTTCTGCTTAATTCGAAACGAACAATGAAAATACGAAACGTGAAATGTTAAATTAATGAGGAAAATACAAGGTCTCTGCAGTGATTAACAGAGACACTTCATTGGTTAATTATAAAAACGTGACCCAATGAGAGACGAAAGGCGACATACATTAGAATAAAAAGCAATGAATGAGCGAAAACGTTAACCGATTACATATTCATACGACCTGTAAACCTTATTTTACGCCTGTCATAAAAAATATACCATTGCAGTTGACCAAAAAAAAAAAATTCTGTAAGTACTGAATAATGATAATGGTATATTTGAAAGTCAAAATTGAAAAAGTTTCAGAGTTATATTTTGCAGACGTCAAAAGAAATATATTAAGATATAGTAAGAAATATATTAAATATAATAAAGAAATATATATGAGTCGTTCACTGCACAAATCGATTAATTACACTTTTTGAAAAATCTTAAATATAAAAGGTTATGTTTAAGTGCCTTGACACTTAAATTTAAGATTTTTCAAAAAGTGGAGTTAATCGATTTGTGCAATGAACGGCTCATATATTATTTCATAATCGACTGTGATATAAATTTACATTTTCTCATGATATATTTCAAGTTCAAAATATATGTCTAGTACTTTATAATAATAAACAGAAAAAGCATTTTAAACGAAAATAATATTGGACTGACTCACGTCATTATGAATGTTTGCTTGTCAGGTCAACAAAGTATACGTTCGAATATTACTTCTATAAACGACTTAAAAATAATCGTGAACAGAGGCCAGAAATATTATTAGAGGCAAAATATTTTCTGAAAGCAGTAGTAAAGACAAGATCCATCGTTCACTGCAATATGCCATTATAATAATTATTTTGGTAATCGCTGTCTGTTAGAAATTATCCATTATTACCCTTCAATGTACAATATATATAAATATACAATCCATGTTTATGACTCTTTTTGACTAAGAAGGTTCTTCAAATGATCTAGAACATGATCTTCTGGACTATACCTACAGTTAAGGTTCAGAATTTATAATATTTAGATAATTATTGGTACGTCCAGAGCTTGAATTCATTAACGTAATTGTACTACGAATGTTGCAAAATTGATGGTATAATATAATCGATTTTAAAAGATATATTTTCATTGACAGATTTTACATTAGTACTAGGTCTTTGCGAGATTTCGGAAATGTGAGATCGAAACGAGACGAGATCTTGAAAATGTCCAGGGTTCCCGAAAATACACGAGATCCCAAGAATGTTAAAGGTTCTCCAAAATATTAGAGATTCCCAAAACTATCAGGGAATCCCGGAAATATCCGAGATCTCAAAAATATTAGAGTTTCTCCAAAATATCAGGGAATTCCGAAAACACTCGAGGTTTCAAAAACATTAGAGATTCCCCAAAATATCAGAAAACCCGGTAATACCCGAGATCGCAAAAATATTAGAGGTTCTCCAAAATATCCAAGATCCAAAATACATTAGAGATTCCCCCAAATATTCGAAATCCCAAAATTATCAGGTGATCCCGAAAACATCCGAGGTCTCAAAAACGTTAGAAATTCCCCAAAATATTAGGGAACCCCGAAAACATCTGAAATCCCAAAAATATCAGGGAATTCCGAAAACACCCGAAGTCCTAAAAATATCAGAGAATTCGGAAATACCGGAGATTGCAAAAATGTTAGAGATTCTCCAAAATATCCAAGATCCAGTAAACATTAGAGATTCCCAAAAATATCGCAAATCCCAAAACTATCAGGGAATCCCCAAAACACCCGAAATCTCCAATATGTTCGAGATTCCCAAAAATATCCGAAGTTCTCAAAATATCCGATATCCCAAAAATCTCAGAGAATCCCGAAGCTATCCAGGATCCCGTAACATGCAATCCCAAAAATCATCAGAGACTCCCAAAAATATCAGAAATGTCAAAAATTTCAAAGAATCTCGAAAATATCCAAGATCCAGTGACACCCAATCCCC